TTACATAGTTCTCTTAAGATTTGTTTCTTTGAGATAAATCCAAAAGTTGTACTACATCCTCCACCAAAAAAAAAAGGAAATGGTTGTGGCTAGTTCCAGTTTGGGAAATGGTTGTGGCTAGTTCAAGCTTGAAATCCTTAGTTTACCAAGGCAAATGGAACTTGACACAGTGCACAACCATTTATTTTCCTTTCTTTCTAAAGCCCAACTGGTTTTATGTTTTGGGTTTTCTTTTCCCTCTGGTAAGGTTTCCATTTACAGCAGAAAGACAATATCTTAAGAGAAAGGTTTTTAAGGGGAGGAGGGTACTTGCAATTATCTTTGACTAATTATCCTGTAAGCAGCATTGGCATCCTTCAGGAAGACCATGCTCAGACTGTTTTATATGGAGGAATTTTAATGACTGGGCTTTTGAAAGGATTAAAAGTGGAACGTATTAAAAGAGCTTCAACCCTACATATTTTTTACCTAAAAGTAATTTTTATTCCAAGTATATAAATATGTTAAGACTGTTTTTTTCATTCCCAGACTGCAGTTCTGTACCTTGGTTCTGAAATGTAAAAGGAATGCTAATTACACTTTGATTAAAAAACAACAACAAAAAATAACCACAAAAAAACCCCCAACCCAAACAAATCAGAGAGAGCGCCATGGTTTTTCTTTTCTTTCTGTGGAAAGTAAAATTGTATTGACATGTTTCTCTTTATGGATTCCAGCCTGCAAAGATGTTATTGAACCAGTTTTAAATTATGTTTTTCATAATCAATTTTATCAGAGTCTGCATTTAATTTAACGTAATTTTATGCAGACAAGAATTGTAGATCTCTAAGTAGAGCAAAATGATATATACGGTATTTTTCTTTTCTTTCTGTGGAAAGTAAAATTGTATTGACATGTTTCTCTTTATGGATTCCAGCCTGCAAAGATGTTATTGAACCAGTTTTAAATTATGTTTTTCATAATCAATTTTATCAGAGTCTGCATTTAATTTAACGTAATTTTATGCAGACAAGAATTGTAGATCTCTAAGTAGAGCAAAATGATATATACGGTAATATGTAAAATCTCTAATCTTGATTAGCATCAAAGAATTCTTTTCCCATATAAATCTATTCAGTAGGGTTTTTTTGTGAAAGGAGGAAAAAATAGCAAAAAGAAATCACAAGACTAACCACAATTCCTCTGCTCAGCTTTAAAAAATGTCAACTCTGCAGATCCTACCTTAATGTATTAGTCTGCAAATATATATTCCTATAAATTCAACCACTTCTAGATCCGGTTAATTTTTTTTTAGGGGCCTGACATGCAGAAAGATACTATTTCTGTGGGTCATGAGAATGGGGTTCCACTTGCTATATCCTCTCCTTGGCACAGTTCTCTCAGAAATATGCAGGATCCCCAATTTTGGTGCTGTAGGTTTAACTGCATTTTGGATGACTCTCTTACTTACCAGGTCAGACATTTACAGACAACTCTCTTACTTACCAGGTCAGACATTTACTCTTTCTCAGGCACAGCAGGCTCCCAGCCATGGGGGGCATCTGCCTAACACTCCCCTCTTCTCTTAGAGTGAGAACCTCCCCAGTGCTCTACTGCCGGGGCACAAATGAAGATTTCCACCGAGAGAACATGGATAGCTTCGTTTAAGGTTTTCCCTGATTTAAAAGGATAGCTTAAACAGCTGCAAACCTCTGTGCTGCTACACTTCTGCCCAGGATTCCTACTAGCCTTGTGGCTCAAAGTTCTCTCTGTATCTTTCAAAAGATAGCTGGCAAGTTTGGATTAAAATGTTTCAACTCAAGTTGAAACCCAATCACTATTCTTCAAGAGGCAAAAGAACATCCCCATTCCCTAGTGGTATACAGTTTTGTTTCACCTGGATAATATGGAAAATATTTTCTTTACATTATAAAATGCTATTTTATAGGGGATATTCTATTACTGTATTGATCAGAGTAAGTAAAACAAGATGAGATTTTTAAAAGAACGTTAATAACAGAAATGGATGCCACAAAAATGCAAAATGCAAAAAATACATATCTGGAAAAGCAGTTTAACATCTAAGAATTGAATCAATTAATGATTTTCATCTTTTAACACAGGGTGTACTTTACACAAAGATATGCAAAATGTTTTGTAGTAAAGTGTAGCCTAGGGACGCAGTGAAAGCCTTTTAGAGAGATCTATAATAGCAACTCATACACAGAAAAGTGAACATTACCATATAGCAACATAAAAGAAACTGAATTCAGAAGGCATTACCGGTACAAATAGACATATACTTTAGGAATGAATGGAGCTGCATAATTAATTTCTAAGACATACATATAACAACCACACTGGCAACTCAGTTTTCAGGTTGCATATATGGTATTCTGCATTTCTTTTCTCTAGTCCATTTCCAAATTTTTGGTTGGAAACTGTTTTCTGAACATGAATGTTACCTCCAGAAAACCCACTTGTTTTCGTTATTTTTCCAGATTTGTTACTGTATAACAAAAGGACTTCTAAATGATAAAAGACGATGTTCTAATTTCAGTATTCTGCCCAGAAATAAAGTTGGTTGCCATGTTAACTAGCAATGTGAATTTTTCCAGATACTCTTCTGATATAAACTATAGTAATAACAAATGATTATTTATATATAACTTATAGTTATTTTAAACTTTAGAAAAACCTTTTAGTAAAGAATTTTAAATGCAAGAATCTTAATAGGCACCTGTTGGCATTTTAAACATCCTAAGGTACTCTGGTATTCACCAGCTACCCTGTAAGGGGGCACTTCTCCCATAGGTCCTGTGTCATTTCTGTCAGTCCCATGCTACGTCTAAGGTACTGTGTGGTATCTAAAATGGCACTAGTCAGCTATGTTTATTCACCTGAATCCTGCCCTCCATGTTTCTAGTGTGGGAAAAGGTTGTTGCTCAACAATACTAAGTTAAAAGTAAAATTTTCTAATGTATCCAGGACTTTGTTAAGATAACAGATGAGTGGGACTACTTACTGTGGGAATTTAGGAAAGAAAAATGTCTTTTTCAAAATATTGTTATGAAACCTAACTGGTTCCAGCAACTAATTGCCATGGTGGTTTTGCTCCCTAATGTTAATGTACGTACTGCCTGTAGCCTTGGGATCATAGAAAGTGGTAGATGGATTACAGCCGCGCAAGGACTGTGTCCCTGTTGAACTCAGTGACACCACGGTTCAGGGAGTCCCTGACTGGGGCAAAGTCTAGAGTATGGAGAACTGTTCTGGGAAATTATCACTATATTTTTAACATTTCTTATACACTTCCTGAGGCATTTGCTTTGGTCACTCTTGGGCAGCAATAAGGACTTCTGTCCTATCCACTGGGTGAGCTGGACTTCTGCTCTGATCATATGTAACCATTCTTATGTACTTAACAGATAAAAACAATCTGATGCACATTATAAATTGTAGGACTAAAACCTTAAATATTTGTCAGTATGTTTTTCTCTACCCTGTTTGAATACCCAAACTAGTTCTTTTTAGGCTTATACAGGCCATAATATCAAACCCACTTTCAAACCCAAATTAGCAAATCCCCTACCAGTCTTCTCCAAGCAGCTTGCTTCTACCTCTCCCCTTTCCCAGGCAAAGCTGTCGTAGATGTTTGCTTGATAACTCTTAAAAGGAGATGTAGGAAATAGTCTGGTTTGAGAACTTTTCCTTTCAGGAACACTTTGTTTGTTGTTGTTAGCTCAGATTAATACCCAGATCTGAACAAACAAATAGTTTGTGCTGAATAAATTCTGACTGTCTTAACCTTGGGGTGGAGAGAGGGTTAATGGGAATGAGTGTCTGGAGTCAGGTCTGGGGGAACTGCACCTTGGCCAGAGCTGCTGAGGGTAAGTCAGCGTAACCGACTGTACCCTTAGAAGCTGCCATGTCTTTTAAGAAGAGCATGATTCTTATGTCTTCAGCATATTAATAACCAGCCTAATACTCAGGCAACCATATTCTCATTCGAACCGAACACAGAAGGATAAGGTGCTTTGCTGAAAAGTTTATTTGTAATCAGCAAAGTTTCTTGCAACCTGTAACAGTAATTTCTGTTGTTTGTGGCTTCTTGTTTTAATCTATGATTTGTTAACTGCATTTTTCTAAAAAAAGAGTTTTATAGCCAAATAAGGAGAATAGGATCATTTCATATAACTATTTCATATATCTTTCTATTTCATACGTAAGCTAACTCACAGAAATGTAAAGACCCATCTCTACTTCAAGGAAATCAAGTTTCTTTTGATTTTTTGTATAGAATAATCTTATGCCAATAAAAAACTATTTGGTAATACAGAGATGGTAACAGTGCCATGATGGTGCTTTATTTCTTACTTTGCTTTCTAAGTTCATTGTATTTATTGAAATGAAAATTACTTACAAAGTGACGTGTGTGTGTGTGTGAAAGAGTTCAAGAGAGAGCAAGAGAAAGAGATAGACAGAGAGACAAGGAGAGGATTTAATCTAAGCCCAAATATAAAATCAAGGAAGGATATCTTACAAAAACAATTTACTAAGCTTCAAAGTATAAAGCAAAAAAAAAAAAAAAAAAAATTCTGACCTTAGAATCTTTTTCAAAGGCTTCCAACAACTTACTCCTAAGACCACATACCAGATCAATGTTTTCCAGCCAGAATGCATTGGCTGTTTTGAAGAAGAAGATGCTACTTTAACATACAAAAATCACTGCTACATGTGCACAGCTTTTCAGGGGTACCCTGGCTAGCTAAATGAGGAATCCATGTTCAGATTTTAAATTTTCAGTTACCCATATGTAAACTGGAGTGAAGTTCCAGAACAGTTTAATAATGACATTTTTAGCCATGGATGACAATGCTGAAGTGTCTGCACTTGCCTATATTTTACAGATCATTATTTCCAATTTTGTGCACCAGGTTTCCCAGCTCTTCTCCAAACTCACAACTGATGTCAGTAACGTCCACCAAAAAATAATAATTTCTCTCTTTTTCTATAACAATAATTTCTAGTAAAAAAGACCAAAACATGAGAAAACATACAGTTGTCAAATAATTGTATTTGTCTCTAAAGGTTAAACTAACCCTGAAAAAATGAACAAGAATATCAGTCATAACCATTGTTCTGAAAGAAATGAAGCCAAAACCATATTAAGCCTGCAAGAAACTGCTATTAGGCTTCTCAATATCCTTTGTGAAAATGCTCTGCAGTTTTAGCATGTTGAGAATATGCATTGTTAAAGACTGCAAAGTCCTCTGCAGAATAATCTTTCACTCCCTCCACTGAAGAACAATTTTTTTTCTGGACACTATCAAATGTTCACTCTTTTCCAATTATTAAAGATAAATATTAGTGATAAGACTTGGACTGGCAAAAATAATTGAAATAAAAAAGGCACTCGAAAGGCATTTTCATCCTTTCTAAAGGATTCTGAAACTGATATTATTCCTATTGCATGTGCAAGCCCATTGTCATTATTGTACTTTTATTATCTTTGCTTTCAATTTACATCTCTAGGAAGGTGATCTTTGCTGTTTTGGGGCTCGTAATTATCACTACACTTTTCTCTGCTTCCTTCATCACTACACAGTGTCCTTACCACTCGCCTTGAATTTTTTTCAATATGTAATTGTATTGTGGTACCAGCAATCTTATTTTTTCAGCTACTATATTCTATTATAAAGTAAATTTTGTGATAACATTTTAGCATTCATAAAATCTGCTAGTCAACAAAGCAAAAGATTGAAGGCTTGTCCATACACCAAAAATAAGTATGGAGATTTTTCAAAAACTCTCAGGCTATTCATCCACAATAACTGTGGGTTAGATCCAACACAAATACTTAAAAATCAGATGCAGCAATCATAATGCACATTTCCAGAGTGAAATTTGAGAAAGGCTTCCTCTAAATATGTGCAAAAAGTCAAACCGTTCATCTTCTGGAGACAGCAGTAGTGTACTGCACAATCTCACTGGGTCACTTTTTTGTTTAGGATGTTCAAATGCCAGAAGCACAAGAAGAGCCACCTAAAGAAAGATCATTCACAAAGCTATAGATGACAATGCTGTGCAGAGTGGAAGGGACTTTGATATAGAAATGGTCCTTTATATGAAAACAGAGAATACTCCATAACCTAAAAATTTGGTTCTGATTTTGTGGATCTAACTACTAATATTTTGATACCCAAAAAGTCTCCAAATTAATTTGTATAACTGGTCCTCCTTTGGGTCCAGCCCTTACAGCAGTCAGATGGGAAAAATCACAGATGCAATGTCTTGTTTTGCTTTAGAAAGCTTTTCTTCTGGAACTCTTATTTCTGGACCATAGACATGACAGCACACGTTAGTTAGGAAGAGAGACTCAAAGAGGTGTGCACCTTGTGCTCAGAGGAACAGATTGTGATGCCTGTGAGAGTGCTACCTGCATGAGCTCATCTGAACCCTCACCTCACCTCCAAGGGCTTTGCCTTCTGCGCTCATGAGCTTTAGCCCTGGGAGCGAATTTCACTGCACCTAACTAGAAAAGCTGTTGACTCTAGACTTTATCACAGAGCTCTCAGAAAACTTCTATATGGGCTTAGACTCAGGCAATTCAGCTCCTTCATGTTTACACAATTATAAGAGAAGTCTGCAAAGAGAGATAGTAACAGCTCTGAGGAGCTCACAGCTGCCCGTCACTGAGCAGACATGCACAATACTCTGCACTGGCCTTTCAAAGGGACTGGTGGCTTCAGGCCACATATGTTGTATTTCTGTAGCCCAGAAAAGGAGGTGACAAAATGGAGTATAATCAAGGCCAGATCCTAGCTGCCAGGATGAAATGGAGACCTCCAATCATCTGGAGATGATAACAAGTTATTTGAGGATGTTGCTATGTGAAAGCTTATGGTTAGACCCAGAAAGGGTCTTAGACCACTCTTTTCATCAGTCCTAGTCAAGAAACAGCTTGTTGCAGGGAGACAAGGATGCGACTCCTTATCCTCTGAAAGATGAAGGGAAAGATCTTGAGCGCACATCCAGGAAGTGGAAAACCCCTATCAAAATCTGTTTCATAGCTCAGGCAGATGAAGCGTGTTTGAATTTGGGCCCTTTCACATCTGTGTGTATGAGTTATCCTGTAAGATACCAACTCCAGAGGAATCACCAGCTCCTTGTCCATTTCCTTCACCCCAAAGATAGAAGACTTTCTCAGGCATTTGTCTCCAGAGCAGGGTTGTGAGTTTCGAATACTGAGAAAAAAATTTCAAGCTGGCAGTTAGATATTCAGCTCCTTGGATGGAGGACTTTTAGGTCCAATCCATCTGGATTGGCCTTTCCAACTGACTAATTTAAGCAGCTTCCAGTTTATTTTGAAGGCTTCTCTGAATTTTATTTCTACAACCTAGAGTCCCAATGCAAAGTGTAAGGCATGAGTATGTCACTGATTTTCAAAGATGCAGGCTGAGCATGGTGTTGTCCGTAACGTTTTTATGGATTAAGCCTTCCTAGCAGTGAAGTACCTCCACAGTAGTCCCAATCTGGTCAGCTACACTGGCCCGTGGTGAGTAGACACCTTCCACCCTCGTACCCAGCATCTCTGCCAGCAACGTGCTACAGCTTCAGATTCTTTGCACCCATTGTAAAACTAACAATGCATTTCTCTCATTGGGAGAAGAGACAGGGCAATGCTGAGCCCTTTTGAGATTCTTACCAATGGAGTAAAGAGGTGAAATGTTTTCCTACACTGTCTATAAATTTTCTTCAGTCCTAACATGAAGGATCATCCATAGAAAGATGAATGGTCCTGGTCTTCAAGCCTATTCATTCCTTGGATGTCCTATTGAGACTTACAAAATGTGTCATTAAATAGAAGCCCGATTCAGTTCCAATTAACTTCAGAGAAAACTAGATTGTAATCTCAGCACCAACTGGGGTGATAGATTCTTCAATATGGCCATTTACCTATTGAGAATTTGATGGATACCAAATTCAGATCACATGGGGCTGGTCTTCAAGCCTATTCATTCCTTGGATGTCCTATTGAGACTTACAAAATGTGTCATTAAATAGAAGCCCGATTCAGTTCCAATTAACTTCAGAGAAAACTAGATTGTAATCTCAGCACCAACTGGGGTGATAGATTCTTCAATATGGCCATTTACCTATTGAGAATTTGATGGATACCAAATTCAGATCACATGGGGCTGGTTACACATTTTGTTCTTATCAAGCTGTGCTCAATTTAGAGAAAAAAATACATCCTACTTTTGAAAAACTTTACATCCTATCACCGACATCTCAAGTCTTCTAATACATTTTTGTTTTGATTTAATAGAAGTTGAACTTAAGTTTTATGTTTCAGCATCAAAATTTTCATGTCTGAAAAGATTTATATTATAAATCCTACTTGCTTCACTTGTCTGCTCTAAATATTCAATGATAACTAAGTAATTTAGAAGATTCAATTCAGAAGTAGTCCTTATTTTAGGGTTCTGCGTTGTCTGTGTTGGCACAAGGTAAAATGTTTTTACAACACCTCACCATTATTTCTCACTAAATATGCTTTCTATATTATTATTTCTAAATATTATTTCTATCCAGACAGACACATAACTCATATTGGCATTAATAGGAGTCCCACATACAGGGCAAGGGTACAGATAATATTATTTCTGTAACTCTATTGTTTTTTTATGAACATTTTTCAGATTTTTTGGATAATAATGAAACAGTCAAGAATTCTCACAGAGCAGCAAGTATTATTACTCGAGTTTCTTATTTAATGATTTTGTTAAAGAACAACTTACATCGTTAGTAGACTGATATGTAGCAAATGACAGAATCTATACCACAGATATACTAGTTAATTCTTAAAACGGTTGCAAAACATTTTCCCTCTATAGTAAGGCAACTGACCAACCTTTTTTCAGGGAAGGTTCCACTTCACCTAAACCAAGAGAAAAGAACAAACGTTAGAGAAGGGATATCATAATAAAAAAAATCATATTTTTTCTCACGTTGGCTCATTTTAATTTTTTTTAAAAATCTATTCTTTATATGCTAAATGGCAAGCACTCTATTCTGAGATTTTGGATTTTTCATAACACATCTCTCTTACCATAGAGGTTTTCCTGGGTCTGGGGTAGATAAATTCAATGTGCAGTAGTAACCAAGGAAACGTTCAAATCTGTATTTGTGCTTCTGAATGTTAACTTGTGACTACAACTTACAGTTTGCTTGATTTTATGCATGTTTCCATGTTTTAAGAAAAGGCCCAGCGGTTCCATTTTAGCTCCAAATAATAAAGTGCATATGCAGGTTAGCAAGGTTGTAAATCTACCAACACTTCCAGTGAAATCCAAGGCAAAAAATACTCAATCGCAGTGGAACTACGAGCATTTGTTTGCTGCAGTGTGTCACTCCACCTCCATGTGAGACATGGAATTTAAAGGATTGAGCCTGGACAACTGTGGCAAGTGTGCAGCCTCAGCTGCACTGATTGCAGCACACAATGGGCAGTGAGTTCACGTGGACTTACTTTTTGTGATATAATGCAGTAAGTTGCCTGCTGCCTTTTCACACTCCTGGTAGGTATTGATGAAATTCCACTGGGGCCAAAGACTGGGACTGAGGTTTCCAAACACTTCTTAGTGAGCATTTAGATCTTGAATTTTTGTATGTCAGGTATTTTATGACCTCTCCTACTTGCATTAACACTTATCTACTTGAGTATTTGAAGGCTTGCAGGTGTTTTGCGAGCTATGAAATGGTAAAAATGAACACTTTTCAAATTTTAGCAAGCTCTCCATATTTCATCTTCTCTGTTTCTCAACCATGTGAGAGATTGTCTTTCTGCTAGTTGTAAATCATATCTCAGAATAGGATGCCCAGTTCACAGACTCACATGTAGCAGCCTATCTATTAGTATTCATATACGGTGCTCATATAAAAAGCTCATGCACACATTTGAAAGGTAGAAATTTGATAATATCTCAAGTTTCTGAACAAGTGGGTAGAAGTCAGTTTCAGTACATGCTGCTTTTTAATTATATTCTGGTACAGCCAAATAGAATGTAAAATCTACTGTGAAGAAATGAAGGTGTCACTCCTACACTCATCGCTTGTCAAAATGACCAATATGATGTGACGTGATGATCCACTACTGCTCTGCTCATACCAGGGAGCTACTTTTTTTATAACAGAAGGTTAGTTATTTCCAAACTTGAAATGTTAGCAATTTACTTTCATTTATCAGATGATGTCAGATGAAGAATGTTACTATAATGGCAGAACCATAATTTCTAGTAAACTGAATTATTTGCAATATGCCATCCAAAGTCCCCTTAGTTCAGCCAAAATGCTATTTTTTCTTTCCTTTTTTTTTCTTTTCAATATATTGTCCTGTCATCAATATATCAAATTAAAAAGTTCTAAGTTTCTTTGGTTTTGGCAGTCTATCTTATATATTTACCGGGGTTCTTTAGGTTCTTGCTGATGAAAAGAAAATAGCTATTGCCATTCTCTGCAATATCCTGATGCATATTTTGGTTGTGGCTTTGAAGTCTTGTATAAATTAATGCTCTTTGCTTCAAGATGTACTAATGGTAATATTTAATTCTGACAGCTTTTCTGTAATGGTACGTTAAACACGAGATGAAAGCTAACAAAGACACCAATTTACTGATTGGAATAGCCAGTAGATGCTTTATTAGCAACAATGTTCACTTTTCATTTTGTTTGACCTTCTTGTCTGTGAGGTTAAAAGCTGAGTAAGCCAACATAATGCATGTAAAACAGCAGTTAGAGCAGTTACAGAAGTCTTTACGTTACAAATACCTTCATCACTGTCATCATCATCACTCCATACGATGTCAGACAGTAAAGAAATAAAGCCATAAAGCCAATCAGTGGATTCTTCCAATGTCTCATGAATGATTCTCAGTGGTTCTGTGCTGAGCTTGTTAACAGATCTTCCTGAGTGCAGAGTTTAAAACAAAAGCAGTTTGAAAAAAAAAAGGACTCCAGTGATTAAAGTTAATCTTCATTTTATGCAGGACTAATTATACTACCTCCTTTAACAGAAACAAAGATTGTGAATGTTAATTTTTAGTATTATCCAAGGGTTTGAGGACAGCTCTCCTTCCTGTGCAAGACAGGTATAAACTCTATCCTACTGTATTTGCTGTTCGCAGAGTGATTCAGTACCCAGTGGATAATTTGGTCTGATTCTGTGCTTCAAGTGCTCTTCTTCTGAGGCTTGGTTGGGTGAAGGATAAATACAGATTCGATTCTAGCTAATAGTCATCCTTTTACTTAATCTCTTCCTTTCAGCCCAGTATTTTTCTCTGGCCCAGGTCCTCTGCCTCTTGATGCCTGTTTAGGATTCACTGCCTGTGTCGCACTCCTCATGTCAAATCTCCCCTTGAGCCCCCTCCTTTACACAAGTCCTAGCTGAGGAAATTGCTGAGCCCTGGCTTAACCACACAGACAGGTCGTATCATCGCCATGGAGTACATGTAAAGGATGGGAAGAAGAAAGCTATGTATACTTGGGCCAAAATAAACTTGAGTCCAGAATGAAGGGGAATGCAAAGTCCAAATTGTGACACAGAGACAGCTACTGTCAAACGCATACTCCTGTGTATCTGGTTCTTCTCTTACAACTTTTCTAGAGTTTCTTTCACATACGCTTGTGCACATCTACATACTTAACTAGTTCTTGTCTTAGTGCTCCTGTAGGCAAGTAAGCTGGCAAACAAGCAAGCTGTGCAGTTTAATGTGCTCCACCTTCCTGGGACCTCTAATGGAAGTGAGGCCCCTGCTCCCTGCTGCATCCACACCCAGGGAGAGCAACCTTCGGTGGGTAATACAAGTATTCCCTTAAAGGCTTTTCCAATTGTGATTTCACCAGATTTCTCCCTACCCTGTTTATGCTGACATAGTATTTCAGAGGAACTTTCTGGCCTCTGACAGAGTATTTCTTCTGACCTTTCTCTCCAGTAGACTTTTATTTTCTTGAAATCTGTACCAAACACTGCTTAGGAAGAGGGACCGCTCTCATTCAGTCCATGTTACTGTCCACTGTACTTGAAATGGCAGACTGAATGATTGCCCTATCTGTGTGAAGCTTTCATACAAATGTAGACAATTGAAGGTAGATCATAAATACAATCTGAGACGTTGGCCTAGTCTTGTTCCTAGGAGTTTCAATAGAAATGTATATACTGAATTTAACAGGGTCAAGATAGGAACCATATCTCTGTTTACCACTATCTTTCTGTATGCAAACATTTTAGTAGGAAGTTAAATACAAGTCTCTTCAGAACTACTTCTGGCTGCAGTGTTCTGACTCACAAGCCAAATCTTAGCAGTAATCAGAAGTAGTCTCACATGGACTTGCAGGTTGCAAAGACAGGCAAAGTGCAGGCTTGAAGCAGCTTCTTTGATGGCAGCAGTATGAACAGTTATTTTCTAAAAGTGCTGTAATGAAAGTTACTTTATTTGAAATATGAATGTATCACTAAATAATTCCTTTTATTTCTAATTAATTAATCTGAAACAGAAAAGACAAGGCTGATTTTCTATTATTTTGTATCTGCTTATTAATAATGTAGACCAAAGAAATATTTTGGTTAATGCTTTTTGGAGATTGTATTATATAGATATATGCTACTGAACAATCAGGCACATCAAATCAATTAATCCTGTGCCATGATGAAATGACATAATTGCAAAGAACTATTCATGATCTCTTCATTTAGTGTACTATTGTGTGCACTATTGTATTCAGAAAGATTGAGTAGTATAACAGGGAATATTTTCTTTGCTTATCACAAGGCATTTATTTATTTGCATTGGCCTCATGCATTGAGATGTAGAGATTTTATTTTTTCAACTGATTTGTCACAAATGCTCTTCTCAAGTGTTTACCAGGAGAATGAATACCTATATTTAGGCCTTTAGAAAGTAAATCTGCAACCTGACCCCTGATGTCATTTGCACTTTATTCTAATCTAGAGGTGCTAAGGAGTCCAAGTGGACTAATAGAATGGACATAGCCAGAGGGGTCTTAGCATAACTGAGGATTTGATTCACAAGCAGGGGTGGTTTAACTTCAGACAGCTGCCTTGATTTCCACTTTGGCTATCCACCTACCCTTTACCCACCGGTTGCTTAGGGATGATTCAGTTGCTTTTACAGCCAGAGGCTTTTACAGCCACAGGAACTACAGCTGTAAACCGAACAAGAATTGGTGTCAATTTATTTTAATATACTGGTCTATCAACTAGCAGTTCAAGAACTGCTTCACAGGGAGCAGATCTGTCCCCCTGGGCAGGCAAGGGAAATGCTCAGAGAAGAACAACATCAAGAGCAGAGGAAATTATTCCAACCACCCCAAGGCAAGCCATCTTTGCTGATGAATCAGAGTCCTCAACGTCATATCCTGGTCTTTAATTCTTAACATCTTCATAGCAAACTCTGAAAAGGGATTAGAAGTTCTAAGTGTCCAGAGGTGAAATTCTCCAGTCACGCCTACACTAACAGTACCAAGTTGCAAATCCCATTTAACGTAAAAAGTTTAGAAAAATCTGTCTGGGGCTATGTAGAGGACACTTTAGTGGTCTTTGCAAAATTAAATTTTGTATACAAACAGATACTGTGAGATCCACTTGCGGTCTGATGCAAGTGACACAGGCCTGGAAAGTTGTCTCCTTGTGCATAGATCTTCTGTTTAACTTTTGTTGTATTTCCTACATTTTTAAAAAGTAGTGCTAACGGTAACGATGTGTCCTAAAATGCTTAAGAACACCACACCAGGTAATGCTGAAGTGAAAATTACTGCTGATCAAATCCACGCTTTTAGCTCTCCCCACAACTTTGACAATAGCAGGTTCTTTCCCTAGTAGAACAAAACACACAAGAAACAAAGGAAATAAAGCAATTCAGGGGGTAACAGGTAGAAAGAAAGATGCCATTTGCCTCACACACACGTGCAAAGAAAGATAACCGTTTCCAGAGGATTTGCATACTCTTGCTTCAAGAGTGAAGCTGAGAGAATGCAGATTTTCATAACAAAGTTTGAGCTTGATATTTTCATGTAATTTAGATTTTTTTTTTATTTACATATATCCAGCAAGGGTACAGTATGATGAATTTTTTTAGAATAGTCTTGGACTCAACACATTCAGACTGGATTAGTTGTCTTCTGTCCGACTTTTTCATTTCTTGACAGACCTTAGAACACAGATTATTTTAAAACTAAGCTCACAATATACTTCTCTTGCTAGCATATGTTATATAGGATGCAATATATAATTTGTAATGAATCTATAACTATAAAGAATAATTAATATATGACATGATATATCATATATCATCTATTGTGCTGGGAGTAGCAGGGGCAGGATATTGAATTTAAACTGTAAAGAGCCTTTATGAATACAGAGTATTTCTCAGATAGATACAGGCTGTGAAGTTCTACCTTTTGCTGAACTTGTAAACAGGGACTGAGCCAATTGTTCCTCTTAGATAATGTAGTAGAAAAATACTAAATGTCTGTCGAAGGAGGAAGAAGGGGAAAGGAAGCAAATGGTTACTCAGTACGTTAAGCTCAGGGATGAAACATGCAATTAATATTGAAGACTTCTTGTTAACAGTATGTAATTTCATTTAATCACATCTTAAGTTCAGATTATCTTATCTAGCCAAATGTACCTGAAAGCCAGGTGTTGAATCCCTGGTGGTTTTTAGACTCCCTCAAAAGCCAATGCAGAAAGACACATTGTGACCTTCAGAAGGCAAGTCTCTCGCCTTCCTCTGACACCTTTTTTGGGGTTATATGAATTAATTTCCAAAGATGCCCATCCCTTTTCATTGACTAGGAAGGAAAGGAAGCCTGAAAAATTAGCATGGACATGACACCTTATTTTCGTATGACTGAGGTATGTGACATGGATCCTACTAGTGGTGCTGTTTCATATTTAAATCCTTCTTGTCATTGTACACTTTGGCTAAGCGCTTAGATTTGTAACTTTACATTCATAATTAATTCCAGGTCAACACGACTATTCACCTTGACAAATTACTTGCATTCCAAAACAGCACCGGTACCACCAACAATGCTTTGCTATAACGTTTTATTTTGTCATGGTCTTTTATTACTTGGTACAGTATAAGAGATGTTTTTCAGTTCCGTAAAAGTTCAGCTCTACTTGTGCTGGCACTTTCACTGCTATGAGAATAAACAGTTTTGCCTTTTTTTTTTTCTTCAGTGGGAACTTCAAAATTTTAATTCTATAACTTTCTGGCAAATGTTGAAATTCAGAAGAGTTAAAGCTGACAGAGAAAGAATCCCAGTCAAACTGAAGGACTTTGTATACTACCTTTGAGCAAAACCTTATTGTAGGAAAACTCAACTGAATTTGATTGGAGAATGTTTGTTACCTGTTGCAGATACCTGCAAGAAAATTTGGAAGCTTGTTTGGATTTTCTTTACTAAACATGCAAATGCAGTTAAAATAATTCTTTAAGAAATAATTTCAGATGTGTTGTAAGTATTAAATACTTCTGAAAACTCCCTATGTGTTTTGAAACCGGCTTTCATGATCATTATAAAAAAATTAAACTGCTACAATTCTTTGTAGCTCTCCAGCATTATTAGTACAGAAACAGTAATTTGATTCAAAATGTGAGAACAAGAATTCTGACCAACTAATTTCTTCAGTTTTGAACTCTCCTTGGCTCACAATTTTAACCCCAATTGATTTGAAAATAGATTTCATACCTTTAATGGTAATTAATAACTCACACTTAACACAGCTCTTTGAAATCAACCAATGACAGACTTCCAAAGTCCTTCAATCAGCATTACGTACGTTCTTGGGACAGAAGATAATTTTCATAAAGTGACAAACTCACTTCAACTTCAGTAAAATTGTGGTATTTTGTGAACAGAAGAAACCTCTTTTTTTTTCATCAGGACTGATAAGGGGTCCTCTAACAGTGGCTTTTGGAAATAAGAATTGATTAATCACATGGTATGATTTGCTGTAGCGCCTCAAGCAAATTTGGTTATGTTTCATGGTCTGTGTCATTTATTCCTGTGAAGTGCACAACAAAAAGTGACTAATTGATTTATCTGCGCAAATAATTTCAGTCATTATTCCCGTCTTAATAACTCTGCCACGAATGTAGTCTCCTATCAATCTTTTTTGCTTGTCAAATAGTTAAATATATACTCAGAGTTCAACCTATTTTAAAGTGGGGTTTTTTTAATGAATTGCAATGAATTACTTAATAATTGTTGGATTTTCATCAATTACATATTTTGACTCCCGTGAATTGAATGTAATTAAATTACAAATGATGATAATTATCTAGTGTAAAGATTGATCTATGAGGTATAATTTAATTCATTGATACTGACAAGCTACAGCTGATGAAAACAGAATTTCTGTCATGTTTGATAAAATACGAAAGGCTAACACTAGTTTGTGATAATAAAATATATCCTAGTTTTAGCAAAATATTCTCTTATAAAGAGACCTGTATTTTAATTTGAAGTTTATATTGTTTTTAAGGTTTGTTATTATTATTAGGAGTTTGTTTCTACTCTGTGGTCTTCTGGAATGTAGTATCTAACATATAAAACTCCATATACAGATAAAGTCTTCCATTATTAATATTCTAGTTTATCAGCACAGGTGTCCTTAGGTCTTATCTCTTATTTCATAGACTAACATTTTTATCAACAAACATTTTTGAAGCTTACAGCACTAAGCTTCAGGACAAGCTCTGGTGAGTATCATTGAATTATAAGTATAAAGATAATAATTTAATTTTGAATTACAAATATATTGAATTATAAGTACAAAAACAATGCCAAAGAAAACTCAGACTCAACATTACCAGTAATTTCCATTTTATAGGTTCTTAAATTGTAAATACGAAGACTATATAGTATAAATCTTCCCTGGCTCTTTCTAATTACAGATAGATAATCTAATTATAGATAAATAATTTTAGATAGTTATATTGAGGTCAAGTCCATAGAGAAAACCTCACCTGAAAGTGAAAAAAGGCATTTTACCCAAAATGAGAACAAAGCAGTTATAACTAGAACCTACTTGCCAAAGTTTAGAAAGAAATTCACAAAGTGTCACAAAGTATCAAGTAATTTCAGGTACTTTTGATATAGCTATACACATGGACAGGAATGTAGGTTTAGGATGGGCCTTACATGTAATTTATGTGACTTGATTTGATATCAGCTGAAAGGCTTCTGATTTGACGGATCAGACACTAATTAGGTGGTGTTTTCTGAAACAGCCAGACATTTTATCTGAAATAATTTGAAGCTTTATTTTTTCTCATTCTAAGGATTCAATTTTCTGACGAAGAACACAGATCTTAACTTCAGATTAAAAAGGCAGTGCTGTTAAATAATTGTACAATGGCATTTTTAAAGGGCATTTATGAGGGTAAAATGACTGTCTCTCAGCTTGCCACCATTTCCTGGGAATCTCCTGACTGAGGGCGTCTCTTAGCTGACAGATCTATTTCAAGCATGATGTGAAAATCGGGAGGAGGCTATTGCAATGAACTTTGCAGCCCCAGCCAGCCAGATTTGGGGGTTAGCAGAGAAGCAGTGCTGCCGCGTCCTGGCACCCTGCTCGTGCCCATGCTTTGTTATCGCCGGCCAGCAGACCGCACGCGCACACACGTATTCAGAACACTGCAGGCAGAACGTCTTTACCAGGTGGTAAACAGGGATCATCGCAATGTTGTGAATAGGTGGCTATAGCGGATGGCAACAGGATGAACCCCAGAAAGGCCAATAAAAAAAAGGAAGAAACACTGTTAGCAATAATGAACATCCTCAGCTGTCGCTTGACTAAAGGAAGCAGTTAAGGAGTGAAGTGAGGAGTTACTTCTTCTCTGCGGGGCTGCTGTTATGAAGCAGAAATTGGAGTTCATTACAAAGAAAAACAATATGCTGTAGGTGTGAGATAATACAGTATGAATCAAAGCAATGTAAAAACATGGTTAAATAAGGCACAGGTATTTTCACAAGTTACAAACATATTCTATTGTTGAAAAGAATATATTACATATAGTTGATTCTAGTTGAATTATTTTGATTTCTTCAACAGCAAATAACCGAAGAATTACATTACTGCAATTGTTACTGAAATGAATTACCGGTTTTGTTTGTTTGTTTAAAATTAGAAATTTCACAGATACCATTATGGGCTGGAAATTTGGTTTGTGTTTTGTATCCCATGAAATGCATTTAAGACTTATTTCTCTTCTTAGATCCTTCCCTATTCATTAAGTCAGTTTCTGAAATTTCATATTTTCAACTTCACGACCTCATGAATTTTGATCTATCACAATTTATCTTCTTGTATATGCTAGACCATTTAGGATGAACACAGTACTTGCAGCACTGCAGTACTTCATAAACTGTCATTCTTTCCAGTATAAACTTGTTCTCTAAGGGTTTATAACTCAGCTGTTATAAGATTTGCTGCAGAGTGAAACACGGGAAATAAGATGTCATCTGGGCAGCCCTTCTTTAAACTGGAATTGGGTTTAAATCCCTTTAATTTTTTTTATCATTATGGAAGACAGTGACAAAGATTATTTTGTAGGTTTTGGGTACATTTGTGGAAGTCCCGTATAATTCAGTTAAGAATTTCATTAAGAACTTTGAAATGGGTAAGCTGTTTACTCATGCTCTGGATTGACACCTGTAAATACAGTAAAAATTGTATTTCAAAAGGCTATAGCACTGTTTTGATAAGCTCCAAGGTGAGCACAGCGAGAGCCACACTTTTTTTTTAAATCCCACTCCTTTGTTCTGTGGGAGATTTGTCTAGCGTTTTGCATGAATGGAAATCTTTTACCAATTATTTCAATTTGGTGAGACTGTGAAGCACCTCTTGCACCAAGAGACAAAATGATTTGTTCCATTAGGTTTGCTAGTGCTTTAAACTAAGCCAGAAGTTCATTATTTTTCCTGAATAAGTGCAAAGGTATTATCAGTTTTAATACTGGTGGATATATTGTCATAAAATACAAGAGTAAATATAAGTACACTCTTCTTTTTGCAGTTCTTAAAAGTTTCCAGTGAACACAAGCCCAAGAGAATGACTACAGTGTGATGACATTCCAGGAGAAAAATGGATGTACATATTCCTAATAATGATTATCTCACAAAAAAAAGAAAAAAAAAAGAAAAAGAAAATAAACCCAGTAGAATAGCTGTATTTTGCTGACTTCCATTTCTCTTAACAATGAAACAAACACTCTGCGCCTAACAGGTTTTGCACCTTACAGTTTTATCATGCAGGAGACTGAGGCAAAAAATGTCCATGTGTCAATTATACAGTACAAGTTGTTTGGAGTCCTGTTCTTTACTTAGTGTGTCTTTTTTCTCCAAAATACAGATGTTCATGTGAATATATGGTTCCTAATTCTTTGTTTGTTTTCCTCTACTGGAGAATATTAATAGGTATATCATCCTGACTACCCAGGGCCAGCCAAAAGCTTTCTGTGGCTACAAGACAGTAATAGAAGTGACCACAAGCTAAGGCAGGGAAACGGTGACTTCAGAGTGTGTTAGTCAGAAGCTGATGTGGGAGACCCCACAATTTGGCCAGATATTTTGCCATTAAATAAAAAAAAAAAAAAGCATTAAATAGAACATCTGACTGGAATCCCTGATGCATCTTGTGGAGCTGGGAGCTCCATGCCTCCATGCCCTGTTTGCTCCTTATTCCTGTCATTGACATGCATTACCTCCACAGAGATCCGCTTTTGCTGCAGGTCTCTAAAAAGCCTCTTTATGGATGAGCAAACTGAATTACCCACAACAAAAAGCCTGCTCTTTTTTCTTTTATGAAAGCAGTCACAATAAGGTGGCAAGCTCACCACAAGCTATCCACAAAATAATCTAAGTGCAAATGTAGCACACACACAGAACTATGTTTCTGTGCCAGAAATGACCATCTCCATAGCAGAGCCGCTAGTAGTGACTGTTCTGCACAGGACTGACTGCAAGAAAACAGAGGCAGGCTGATGTTTCTGCATTAGTGCATTTGCACTTAGATTATTTTGTGGGTAGTTTTGGGTTTCATAGATTTGGTGAGGTTTCATTAGGTTTGATTTAGTCTGGTCTTTAGGTGACTGGCTAAATCACTATCAATTTACTCTGAATACTGAACACTCTGGAGCTGAAATTAGGGTGGTGTTAATTAGCTGTAATTGGTCAAAGAGATGGCAGGGAATTCTGAACACTTTATTAACCCATTAGCCCATTCCTGGGCAATCAATCTTTAGGACTAAAATAATCTTAAATTATTTAGTTACATTTACCAATTAAAATATATAATCCAGTTATGTGTACAAGAAATGCATGAAATACATTCATGAATTATAAGGCCAATTAGCAAGGTGTATTTTCTAACACAAAGGATAGTAGTAATAACAAACTGCTGCAAAGCACACATCAAACCAAAATGAATCTTTTTTCTGTATTCCTGAAAATTCTGAGAATGTATTAGAGATCTTCCAAAGCAGTATGTTACTTATTGCATATTCATACACACTACATACTGCATGGGATTCATAGTTTCTTATCTCAGGCTTTTGTAATGCATGTCACCTTCGTAGCACATTAGAAATATTTCAGTCATGTTTATAGTTGTACAATACAACATGATAGGAATGCAAGCTTTCATTTCTTTCCTCAAAGGAATGAACAAAACACACTAAAGCGAAACACTGCAAAATTTAATTTCCTCCTTCTGGGTAGATAGAACAGGGGCGAATATTTTAGCACTGATCTAATTCTCGGCTCACGCTTTCTGCAAATTCCACTGCCAAAGCTGACTTGCAAATCCCATCTCTGTTCTAACCTCTGAACAAACTGACACATAACCACCAAGAAGGCACAGCTTTACATGTGCACCCCATAACACAAGGTCCTCCTGCAATGTTTTATATCATAACCAGCACCTCCTGAATACTACAGAGTACTATAGAATTTACAGTAGTCATGTTCCGGATGTGTAAAATTACACAAAATATTCTTAAATCTTTCTGTGAGTGGAACTTGAATTCATGTCATCTAACTTCAGCTCCCTAAAACCTAAGTGTTACCCTCCCTCAGCCTCCCTCAGTTCAAAAGGCTCCTTTTCAAATACTGACGACAGAGGGCCCCCAAAAATGTAATTAACCACATCTATTTTAGGATGAAACCAAACACCTCATTTTCATGTAGTTACTTCTGGGACAAACTTCATCTTACATAAGTTGTCAAAATTCCCAAACTTGATAGTTTACTTCTAAAAGAACATGAAACCATAGTAATCAAGAAACAAAACTTATGGGTTGGCACTCTGTAATCATAGAGGCAATGTGAAGTTTATACTGATAAAAGAATACATAAGAGCTAAAATACATCTACCAATACTTTATGTCTTTTTGGAATTATTTGCCTATAAGATAGCGAGAGCAAAATTGTTAATTGCTGGAATAGGAAAACAATGCTTGAGTTCAAGTCTAAAATAATTCCTACTCTGCTGATGTGTTGTGTTTCTACTGAGCTCCATGAATCTCTGTGTAATCCAGGTGAACTCATAATTTAGGGCATTACGCTTCCTTTATTGGCCAGAGGCTAGCAGCTCTGTACTGTAATCAGGAGGAACAAATCTGTGTATATTCCTCAGCCACACAGTTCCCAGCCTGGTTTACTACGTCAGCCTGCCTCTGTTTTCTTGTGCAGAAATAGTCACTACTAGTGGCTCTGCTATGGAGACGGTCACTTCTGGCACAGAAACACAGTGGAAGTCTCTGGTGGGAGCCCGTAGGTCAGAGACGGCCCCAGTGTGGAGGTATGTGGCACTTTTTACCCAGCTCTCCCAGAGCTCTCCCAGCTCAGGTCCTTGCTTCCTGCAAATCTGGCAAAGGGCTAGCTCTGCAGATGAGCACAGTATGCTTTTAAGTCATCCCACTAGGAATCAGTGTGAAACACCTGCACGAAAATCAACAGGATTAACTGTACGAATGAGTGAATGAAATCTTGACTACAAAGGTCCATAGATCCACTTCCCGTATGCGAGGATGGGAGAATCTTCCCCTTAGTTATCTTTGTGTCTCCACTAAGATCTCTGGCTAGGTGCTTTCTAAATACCTTGTGTGATTCTAACAGATGTTTTAATGAAATCTTGCAATCACGCAGCTGTTGATCAGTAGGCATCTCTAGAGTTCATCTAGTGCAATCCTTCTCAGTAAGGGACTGTTGCCAACACTGGATCTGGCCAGCCATGGCCATCTGGCCAAATCTTGAACACTACCAAGGATGGAGAATCCACAGCCCCTCTCAGCAACCTGTTTCAGTGCTGTACTGCCCTCCTGGTAAAGACTTTCCCCCCCGCCCCTCAGTGTTCAACACGAACCTCTCAGGCAGCAATTTCTGTCCATATTCCCCTTGTTATATTACCTCATACAACAAGGACATCATCTTGGTAACTGTTTGTCATCTGTCATCTCTGTAACTGTCCTTCAAAAAGCTGCAGGCTGCTTTTCGGTCACCCCTCAGTTTCCTCTTCTCTAGACTAAGTTCAGCTCTCTCAGCTTGCCTCATTCATATGCTATACATACTTTCTAAACTTGAACTTCATGGAACTTCAGGTAAAGAAATGGGAAAGAAATTGAATGCACTCACTTATGAAAAGCAAGTGTTATTTAAGGAAAAAATACACTGAATATTCTGTGTTTTATAGATTAAAAAATATACAGTTGAATATAATTTCTTTGGCATCTTTCATTTACATTTAAAAACTAGGAAATTAATTTTAATCATGCTTGCAAAATTAAACTTACAGTCCTGAAAATAACTATTAACTTTTTTTATGCAGTTCTGCTTGTTCGAAGAGCAGTGTCAAACCCAAGAGAAAATATCACTGGGTATTAGATTTAAGGAGTCATATAAAAATATGCTCCCGATTCTACTTTTTGTATGAAAAGACGGCATTACCTCCACTGGAGGCAAAGGGCCAAACTGTCAGAGGGTGAAAATCATTCTAGTATCAATAATGCCAGTCAGGTGGTCATATGTAAAATCTTCAGCTATTTGGATGGAATTTTTATAAATCAGTGAGTTTCACCTGGAAAAATCAGACTGAGTAGGAACTCAGGAGTTGAAACCCAGGGGTCATGATAAGAGCTATGTAGCCGTTGTTATATTTATGTAAATATAGCAAACAGTCTAATAAATCCTGGTCTGAAGGAGCACGGCAGTTCCTTGTCTTAACATTTCACCATTAAGACCTGATTTAAATGCTGGCTTAATTAATCACTTAGGAAGAGAAATATCTTTGGGAAGGAAAAGAAACAAACTCATGAACTCAAAAACTAAAGTATCATCTCTCAGAGATCTCCACAAAATACAAACTCACCTTGCAGATTAAATTTTACATGTTTTCATTTCTACAGCCTGGTCTGAAAATGTCAGTTTCCATCAACACCTTTGGGATTTAAGCTTATTTAACCAATACAACACGAACATCAGATTTCCATCTGCTTAGAAAGTTTCCTTCGGTCTCCAGTACAAATACAGATTCTCATTGCTTAACATTTCCCTGACTAGTACATTGAGCATGCATGAGCTGACAGCCAGTTCAGGAATCGCTTAGTTTAGGAGTTTTGCCTGAGTTATGTGCTGGTTCCTGACTGCTTATTGAAAACATATTAAGAACTTGACTGGGTGATTGATTGATTAATAGTTAATATGGAAAAATAAAAGCAGAATATGGTGGTTTCTCCCTCTTGGTTTACATCTATGTTGTAAGATCAAGTGTATTGTGTCCAAATTAAAGTCTGATGCCTGTTTTGGGAGGATCGCTCAAAAGGAACTTTATGTTTTGCTGTGCCTGAAGTTAATTTCTTCTGAAAACAAGGGCAAATGAGAAGCAAAAAACTTAACAGGAGTTTGTGATACGTTTTCTCCACATTTCAAGCTTCTATGGCATCCATTGATCCAGGATTCAGCCGTTTCTTTCAAGCTCTATCTATGTCTCAAAAGCTTTTTAAGTAAATCTTGAGGTCAATATTGATATATAGCAGGACAAAAATCTATGGATTTATCAGTAAACTAATAAAGTCTAGGAAATTAACTTTGAAACATCAACTCAATTTGTTTTGAATTAAAAGGCTGAAGTCTGAGTTTCAATTCCTAGTTAATTATTGTGACAAATGTGATGCCTTTAGAGCTGGAGCTCTTATTTAAGAAAGAAAAGGACCTTAATAATTTGTTTTCTGTTTCACTTACGTGTTTCCCAGTCGTTACAGCCTGTTTACCTCACAAAAATTTTTCTGCCAAAGTGGCTTGCTGAACACTATGCCCCCTTTATAAACATAGATAATTAGTTTATTTTATTTTCCATATATATCATTGTCAGATACAAGGCATAAAAATCAAGTAGCAATGAAGTAATTTCTATTCACCATTCTTTTCTTCCCATTACTCAACATAAAAATCAAGTAGCAATGAAGTAATTTTTATTCACCATTCTTTCTTCCCACAATCACAGTCCTTGTACTAGACACACATGCCTTCATTTTCGTCTTTGCCCTCAGTAACCAACATGTACCCCAGAACTTGATCTTGTTCAGTCAGTTTGCCCAGTTTTAACCTGGGCTAGAATTATTGCCTTATTGAAGATAAGGGTGTGACTTAGCTAATGTTAAGAATCTGGTCCTCTGTGCTTGTGGTTTTTGAAGATGAATTTAGAGTTAGAGTTTATAAATGATCTTTTGCATATTTCTTGTCATTGAACTGTATAAGCAGATGTCAGAATACCCAAGACAACTATGAAAGATTTTAAAATATATTTCAGAAAATGTGAATTAATAATTAATTTTATTTTTCTTGAAATAATTTTATATAGAAATTGCAAAACAGAAATCTGACCACACGTGCTCATATACATATTATATTACTGTCAACATACACATTTTCCAGGATGAGGATGGGCTGCAAAATGGAGAGATTTAAATTATAAAGATGTATGAAGTGTAAACTAATATGTTCTGACATTACTCACAGTATCTCCTCCAAGAAGGTGACATGCATATTTACATAATAGACACTCCTTAATAATTTTTTAAATATTAATATACAAGATGTCAAACAGAATATGCTGAATTTTACCTGCAAAGGCTTTGTAATCCACCAAGTCAAACATTACAATAGCTACTGCTGACCAGGTTACAATCAGAGCAACAACAAGAAGCCATGCTGCTGGTGAGCTGAACGTTGTCACGAGGTCTTCTGTAACTGATTTCTTGCCCACTTTCATGGATGGTGAGGGAACAGATCCGTTCTTACCATCTATTATTGTCGTGGTTGTAGACATACGTCCTAGGCAAATAGTCAAAGCAGAGGAAATAGAATGTAACATTTAGAGCCTAAAAATCAAGAATATGAATGTTTTGAAATCGCTCTGTAATCAGAATATTTAAAATAAATGTAAATATTGCATTATTAAAGACAGGCTCTTGTGCTTTCTGGAAGGAGTTTTTCCTGAACTGGGGTGACTTTTAGTAAACTTAATTTGGGAGCAAACACGGTGAAATAGCCACGACCAGCCTTTTTGATTATAATATGACATTTTTTAGTCTGCCATGAATAGCTACAGACCTAGGAGAGTGATTGATGAAAGAATAAAATATTATTACTCTCCAAAGGATTGTCTTGTTACGGGCTGTAGGCCAGATTCTCAGGTGATGTGATTAAGTGTACTTCCATTGACTGTAATGGAGCTAATACGTCTATGCCACTCGAAGTTTGGCTGAAATTCTGCTGTCAAGGACATGTATCAATGGCAATAGGAACCTACATAGTCCATTTCATCTAACAGAAACACAAATTATTTACATGCCCAGTATCCTTACAAGTTGCAAAGACTCTTGTAGCTGATTTTTAAATACTTTTGTTTGTGGCATTTTTCACTTAATGAAATAATCTCCTAAGAAACAAGAGTTACAGTGTCAAAGCAGACTTAATTCCAGAAAGCATAGGTTTGGTACTAGAAAGGTGGTAGGAAGGTGAGTACGTACGTTAGCTAAGTCAACAGTTAACACACATTAACTGTTTAATGGACAGTTAACAGTAGTGACTTAATCTACTTCTTCCTGGGGTATTAAGAAATGTTAATTCTGGACACAAACCAAAACTAAGTTAACTGAAACCTGACCACATTTGAAAATTCTCAGATTACTCTTCTTCACAGAAGAACGTTATAACCTAAACAATCTTGGTTGGTGTTTGTTTTCCAGTATATACAATAACAATAGTAAAAATATTCATAACTCCACAGCCAAAAACAGTAGAAGAGCACAGTATCTCCACTTAGCTTAGTTTACAATATCCGCTTGTAAACTACTGTTAAAATATTCAAAGATATGTTACATATGTTCCCGGTCTGGTTGATGATACCAACTGTCCTAAATTAATGTCAGTGATTTCAGGGACCCTTGCCCAGAGAGATGTCTGAAATGTCAAGGAATCAGGTGATGCCTGGTTTGCTCATACCTTTGCTCTCACCCTGAGATCACCTATCTTCTGTCACAGCTGATACAACCTAGAAAGATGATAGTTTTCTAGGATGATGGAGGTAAGAAAAGTGACAGTAAGAAAAGCTGCTCTATACAAAGATAAACAGATTTAGTTTCACTTTTCACATGGAAAATTGTAAATATGCATTTGGAAACTATCACTAGAGCTAAGGTACAACGCTGTTGAAGACTTTCAGATATTTGCCATCACAACATGTATGTAGCCTCTATTTAAGAATCACTATATTGATATTCTTAAAGAAATAAATGAAGAAAGGATTAGATCCTTGATATTACCCATAGATACATATATTTGTCCGTAAAAAAAAAAAGATGGCATAACAAGTCTTCCAATCCTAATGCTAATGAATATTGGTTTTGTTCCTTTTTCTGTAGAAAGTGAGAACAATACTCTAAAGTGATATTGAAATGACCTTTATGTATCTCACATATATCGGTAGAACTGGGAAGGACAATTTTGGTATCAGAGGTTCCCTAACTGTTAATCTGTCATATCTGTAGAGTGTTAAAATTCATACCCGAACTATTCTACATTTCTTTTGTTTATTAGGTAATGCATTGCATTTGTGTGTACTTCCCTTAGCTCTACCTTTTAAGCTTGCTTCTGCGCAAGCATCCTGACACTGATCAGTGCCTTGCTTCAAGCCCCAGAAAGCTGCTCTGCTACAGGAGTGTTGTATAAGCAGAACAAGATTGGCATATTACATGTTTTTTGTTACTTATTTGAAATTTAGTCTTATTTATAGAATGTTTATTCTGCTTATGAATAATGTCTATCTACTAGGGTAGAATTTATACTTTTTTTTTTTAATATTATAAAACCATCACTGCTTCCATTTCTCCAAACATAAATTTTAGATCAAACATTTCACAGCAGGAGGAAAAAATTGCCAAGTGACAACTAGCAATAAAGATCAGCTTCCTAAAGTCAAATTCAAAATCAATAGCATGTTGTTATCCTACTGCATACAAAATGCAAGTAATTTGTGCATGCAACAGGTCATAAATGACACATTATGCATTTTTTTCCCTTGGAGATATCAGTCAGAGTTTATGATGTGTAAGAGAGAATAGAAAGATACTGTCTCATCTTGATAAATCTGATTAGTACCACAGCATATCTCCAAGGACATACTAATGACACATATTTGCACAGTTATAATACAAGCAATTAAAACTCTATGTGTGTATATAGATATAGACTTATACATGTAATTACCATTCAAAGGATCATTCCTGTAGGTCTGTTGCTATGTAAAAACAGTTCCTTCCTATTTAGTATACCTAACTTTTCAAATTCACTATTTGAATTTGCTATATTGAATTCACTGCCATGTGCCTTCTTTGGTGAAGAAAATAGTTTCCCACAATTTATCCATCTGAGCAATACTGCAGAGACAAAGCTCAAGTATGCTAGAAGGTTATCTATTGTATGCTTTTGGCTGTTGAGGTAGCCAAGTCAGATTTCCCCTTAAAAACTGAGGATGTTATACAATAAAATCACCACCATTACATTCATTGAAGTGGGAGTGAACAGCTATTGACGCAAATTTGACTGGAAGTCAAGCTAAGAAAAATGTTGTTATACTGTTAGAGGTTCCCAATGCAGGTGCTTGCAGTATGATTCAGGTGCCTAAGAAAAGTCTCTAGTGTTGTTATAGATGCTTTATGATATCAGAGACATCCTCACAGGACTGGCAGGCATCATCCACAGGACAGTAACTTCTGAACTGCCTGGAAGAACCCAGGTGGATGTCCTAAACCACTGAAAATAGAAATTAGATTTTTATGTCCCTAACTACTAATATAAACAAATTGGCTGGAGGAGTTTCTCTGAGGACTCCTGAGGAAGAAATTGTTTGCTACTACATAATTTTATGTGGGGTGGACTGTATATTGATACCATTGTAATTTCATTACTCCAAAAAAAAGAGGCAATAACACCAAGATGATTGCCCTCCCCCCTACAACCACTCGGTCATTGCAGTACCCATGGTGTTATCCTGATGCTTTTCTCTGCCTGTTCCTTGCTTTGCAGTGCCCAGGTGTTGTGTGCATTTTTGTCCATCTCCTACCGGTGTTAAACTCCTCCCCAAACCTGCAGTGATGCTATTTACAGAGCTAGACCAGTAGAGAAAGAGGGGACCTACAGATGGGCAATGTTTCCATCAATTCAGCCAGCAGCAATTCTCCTTTTTCTCAGAAAAGTGCCAAACTTAAGCAGAGCTCCTGCCCAAGAGGTCAGTGGGGCTTCAGGTGCCCAGTGGGGGAATGACAGGCATTTTTGTTGCTCTGAAATCACTTGATGGAGCCTATTGAGTTTTACTTTTACTATTGACAGGGGTCATTCAGCAACAAGTTAAAATCAGATTCCTGAACTTCTCCAGACATCCTTGCTGCCCATATAATACACATTTTCTCTCCCAAGAAATATTTCACTGTCTGTAATACAGCCAATCAGAATCCAAGTCAGTTTACTTTAGATGAACACTGCAGTGGATCGGGAGATTCATGAGCAGATCAGTTGTCCCTGCTTTGGGGGAGGCAACATCTGTCACAGGAGTGGAGGGCGCAGCTGAAGGCTGTTACAATTTCACCCATCCAATTTTAATCCACCACCACATGTCTGCTAGAGCCCCCTCGCACTTTGGGTTGTGATTGCTATCGATTTTCAATGAGGATGGGAACTTTAAAAAGTTATATATACATTTCTATAAAAAGATTACTCCGGGGATATATACCTCTGACTCCACATCACAATTTCTCATGCACACAGAACTACCCTATCAGGTCACAAACGTCACCTTTACATCAACAGACTGATTTGCTAAATTCCAAAGAGCTAAAACTCTGAGTTCTTTTACTATTCCTCTGGTTTCAGAGTTGTCACTTAGGATACAATCTGAAGATCCATAAGGTCTCATAAGTATAAATAAACCTTGACAATTGGTGACAACTTTGAGGAGAACACTGTGTGACTTTCAGAGTCCAGAGTGAGCTTGTAGTCCTGGCAGCTTATATAAAATACCCTTTGTATTTGTGAGTTGAGTACTCCTTAAGGCATAATAAGCATAGAGGTCCATGATTAAGGATGGGCACTTGATTTTACAGTTCAGCAGCTATACCTTCCACTACCTCAGAAGAAAACCAAAACAAAACAAGAAACAAAAACCAAAACAAAAAATACCCTTACTCCATTCAGGCTCATTCAAACGTAAGATAGTAATTTTCTGTATTTATGTTATTTCATAGTTATTTTATGTCTTACAGTCCTTCTTCTGCCAACAGCACACAAAAAAAATAAAATCAAGTAAAATATTTAATGTGAAATGCCTTTTTAAGACTGGCTATGTTAAAAGCAGAGGGCTAGTCATGCTACTAAAAAAAGAGGTTGTTCCCTTTTAAGTAATAATATTGCTGCTAGGGCACTTCAGTTGGGATGTGAGAAGCCTCAGTGCAGTCTGCTCTAAATGAGAGAGCTGGTAGATTTTGACTTGTCTGTTCCACTCCCCAGATGAATACTCCAATAAATAGGCTATAGAGTATTCTGGATTCAGGTTATTAATGACTCCTGTTCGACCTATTCCACTTCACTTGGAATATTTAAATACTAATTAAGGGAGCAGAAAAGAGAAAGAATGACTGTATAAATCGACACTGTATGTTAAGCACCAGCCCGAGCCTTGGGCTTTAACCTGGTGACCTTATCAATTCACCACTGTTGCGATGAGGCAGGCAGGAGTCTCAGCCTACGGTAAGGAGGGTACCGCAGGGAGAAGAGGA